CCCAAAGGAATGTAAATCATTCTATTATAAAGATGCATGCAAGCATATGTTCACTGCAGCACTATTGACAATAACAAAGTCATGGAATCAACCTAAATGCCCACCAATGACAGACTGGATAAGAAAATTTGGTACATATACACCATGGAATACTATGTAGCCATAAAAAAGAATGAGATCATGTCCTTTGCAGGGACATGGATGGAGTTGGAAACCATCATCCTCAGCAAACTAATGCAGGAATGGAAAACCAAATACCATATGTTCTCACTTATAAGTGGGAACTGAATGATGAGAACACATGGACACATGCAGAGAAACAACACACACTGGGGCCTGCCAGACAGAGGGCCTGGAGGAAGGGAGAGTATCAGGAGGAAAAGCTAATGGATGCTGGGCTTAATACCTAGGTGATAGGATGATCTGTGCAGCAAACCACCATGGCACACGTTTACCTATGTAACAAACCTGCATAGCCCACACATGTACCCCTGAACTTAAAAGTTGAAGGAAAAAAAGATGTCAGTCCTCTTCAGATTAATGTATATATTCCATGCATCCCAATTAAAATTCCATGTGGATTTTTAAAAAAGAAGTTCAATAAGCATACTTTTAAATATATATGAAAGAATAAAGGTTGAAGATTAGCTTAGTCAATCTTAGAGGGAAAAAAATAAACAATGAAGACTTGGCCTGCCAGATAAACCCTAGAGAGTGACAGTATCAAAAACAGTAATGATACAAGGTCAAATAAATGAGCAATTAAATAAAATAGGAAGCTCAAACTTATCAATAAAGGTTATCCCACAAATTAGTGAGAAAAACAATTAGTAGAAAGGGTTCAGAAAACTAGCTCCCTATGTAGAGAAAAATAAGACATTGAGAAACTGAGATAATATTCCTCCCTAGACAAGAATTAAAAATTAGCCTAAGAATAATTAAGGACTTAATGTGAAAAGTAAAACTGTAAAGTTAACAGAGGTACAGAAGAGGACCTCTAATACGTAAGGCAAAACACTTACTGCCTAATTAGAAAAGTAAAGGCTTTCTGTCAAGCAACACCAATAGACAGATGTCAAAATGGGAGAACATATTTGTGACACCTAAAACCAACAACTAGTTATTATTGTATCTATATTTCATTAACTCCTACAAATCAATTGGAAAATAACAATTCCAACAAGAATTGGGCAAAATACATAAACAGGAAATTTTAAGAGAAAATCCAAAAGGCTGATATATATATGAAAAGGTGTTCAGACACAAAGCAAGTGAAAATAAAAATACAATGCCATTTTACATCTATTACCCTGCTGAAAGTTAGTAACTGTATAATGCTAATTGCTGGCATAGATATGAGGACATAGGATTGGTATAGTCATTCTGAAGAGTAATCTGTCACTCTTCAAGCAAATTAAACATACACATACTTCATGACACAGCAATTCCACTTCAGGTGTGTATCCCAGAAACAATTCCAGGTCCACAAGTGGACACATACAATGATGTTCATGGCAGTATTATTTACAATGGCAGGAGTTCAAGGCTATATAGTTTATGTGTTCATAACTGAAGAAATCAGTAAAATGTGAGGAATGTACATGAATATTATGCAGTAGTTAGAAGCAATGGACTAAATGTTCACATTCCAACAATAAGATACAGATCTTAAATGCCATTTAGATATATCTTAAAAACATATGCACAGGAAAGAATGCATAATTTGCAAAAACTTATACAAAAAATATATAATAAACACATTATAACAACTGCCTATGAGAGGAAGAGAATGGGAGTGGAGAAAGGGGAATAGTGAGGACAATCATCTTCTGTAAATTATAATTTACTTATGTTTGTTTACTATTCTGTACGCTTCATGAGAGTAGGAACCTTCATTGTTTACTCTGACATCCCAAGCACCAAGAAGAATGACTAACACATAATAGGTACTCAAAATTTGTTGAACTAATGTATAAAGAGAAAGGCCCTTTACAGACTAGCTATGATGATATCTGAAACATAAACAAATAAACAAAAACACAACAATATGTGAAATGAAGACCAAGAATATGGGAATATGATTAATCTAACTGGAATAGGGGTTATGGATTATGAAAAGCTGATTTTGAAACATTAATGATTTCACCTGGCACTAATATCTGGGAAGCACAATATTAAGTCATAATTTAGAAATATGATGTCAGCTTCATCTTGCCACATTCTGGGGTAGGTCTTGGAGATACTGCCTACACCTTCAGGATCCGTTAACAAGAAGCACATAATTATAGATTCAAGTTATGTATGAATAACTTTGAAAAATGGCACTTTTTAACAGCAGTGTACCAAATTATATTTTTCTGTGTCAGACTCAACTAGATCATCAGGATATTAACATTTCAGACAACTGACTTGATCTAACACAACTTGTCCTGCTGGCAAAAGTGAAATAAAAAGTTATCAACTTTTCAGCCACATTCGTATATAAAAATGACATAATTATGCATTCTATATTAGAAACACATACATCTCTGCAACTTCTAAATTATTTCCCAGAAATTAACAGGACAGAATAAATGTCATCTTCCCTTAGAGATTAATAATTTTAAAAATCATAATACAATGCATATTGATAACCTAATCCATTTTTCCATCCTCTACATATTTCAATATAACTGTGGTTTTAGTGCTACATATTATTTCCACTTCAGCAAACTGTCCTTTAGTTTCCCTAGTAACAGGTTTTGTGGTATAATAACTTTCAAATATTGTCAGACATATTTTTATTTTCTTTAAGTCTTGCTTCATTGCAGCTCCCTGCTCATTGAATTAATGACATTTATTCTTCCAGGGGAGTGTGAATAATACCTACAACAAAGGAATCATTAATCAGCTGAGTTTTAAGGTTCAACATTTTTATTAAGGAAATTGTCTTTAGAGCAGATTTTGAGAAAAGGCATTCCAACCTTTCTTTAACAACCTCAAGCTTGGAGGTCTGAAAACAAAATTTTGACTGTAGTATTATAGCATAGGTAGTGAAGGCACAGTATTTGATGTCAGAGAAATGCCCACCCAATATGAAGCAGAAAGGGAAGGCTCTCCTTGCACTCCTGGGAGAAAAGAGTAAGAAAGAGGAGTTTAAAAAGAGAGACATGGGCCAGGTGTGGTGGCTGACGCCTGTAATCCCAGCACTTTGGGAGGCCAAGGAGGACAGATTGTGAGGTCAGGAGTTTGAGACCAGCCTGGCCAACATAGTGAAACCCTGTCTTTACTAAAAATACAAAAATTAGCCAGGTGTGGTGGCATGTGCCTGTAATCCCAGCTACTCAGGAGGCTGAGGCAGGGGAATCACCAGAACCCAGGAGGCAGAGGTTGCAGTGAGCAGAGGTAGTGCCACTGTACTCCAGCCTGGGCTACAGAGTGAGACTCAGTCTCAAAAAAAAAAAAAAAAAAAAGACAGTAAACTGGATCTTGTTACTCAGAAGGGTGGGCCACCAACTAGCAGCATCAGCATCACCTGGGAGCTCGTTAAAAATGAAAAATCTCGGGCCCCACCCCAGGGGCCTATCAACTCAGAGTCTGTAAGTTAACAGGATTCCCAGGTGATTCATATGCACATTAAAGTGTGAAAGTCACTGAACTAAAGCACAAGTAGAAGACTGTGAGAGACACTTCCTTCATTGTAAGATTAGGACAAGATGAGGTTTGTATGTGGGTTGATTTGAAAATGATCAAGAATCACAGGCTCAGGGTTTCTGTCTTTAAAAGTTTTCATTCTCTTAGCAACAGTGATTTTATAAATTCCATTAATTCATTCCAAAAAAGTTAATGAGTGCCTACAATGTGAACTGTTTGACTTTTTTCAGTACTCTACATTAGGGTCTCTTTTTGGCATGATAGTTTACTCATTTCTTTAATTTCAGAAATCTTCACTTTTGCAAGATTTGTCCAAATCAAATCAACTGAATTACTAAAAGGCAATAGTTTTCTTCCTATGGATAGGCTATAAACAAAGTGCAATTTCTTTTAAAATGGCAAATCATATTGGGACTAAAATGTGTTAGTCACAAAATGTAAAACCATACCAATGAACATGTAAAATTATACCAATGAGTATGAAACAAGAATATTCTTCCTGCAGACTGCTTGAAAGTATTAACTATAAATTCAACACAATAAACGCATGCTATGTGCTAGGCCATCTGCTAGGCATTTCAGACAAAAATATGCATGAAATAGTCCCTATATAGTCCCTATAACACGGTGTGGTATACTGGGCTGACTTTATGGGACTGAAACCGATGCAGTCACACAGGCCTTGCATTTGGTTTAAATGTTCTATTGTAGTCGAAATTCTCAATAAATTCACTTTTGAAACTGTAAGTGAATTAAGTACAAGTACGTGAACTTTTAAATGAAGCCTGATAGGAGAATGGACCAGGCCTATCTTCTGGTACGTCAGCAGGGGATACGAACAAGAAAGGAAAAAAGCTTTATATTTTGTTACCTTCATTTTAATTGCCCTTTCCTGCTTTTTTGAACAAGGTACTCTGCATTTTTATCTTGTACAAAGTTGGGCTGAATCTGTAGCCAGTGACGATAGTTAATAGTACTATGTGCTAGATACTGTGACAGAAAGGACAACGTAGCTATTGGCTATGAAAAGGTCAATAATGACTTCACAGGGAAAATGATATTTAGGGTGGACTTTGAAGGTCAAAACGGAGTTTGCCAGATGACAAGGGCACTCTAGAAAGGAACAACATTCTTACATAAATATGTAGACTTACAGATGTACACTTATTTCCACTTAAGCTCCTGTAAGTTTTAAAAAAACAAGTGCTTCACTGAAGTTTTGTATATTTTCATTACACTGCTTTTTTACAATCTTTTTAAAAGCTGTGTACTAGGCAGAAGTTCCACTTCCTGGGGAAGCTTACCTTGTGGCAGAGCAAATGCAGAAATAAGATGTGAACAAACATAACTTCAGTTCAGATTTTTACCTGGATTTGTGCCTCTACTCCAGACCGGAAAAGTGGTTTGGGGGCTTTCGAACTGGTCAGGGACGAAAGCTTCGACCTTCTCCGAGGCCTGTGGAATCAACCGTGTGAAAGGGGTTTCCTCCTCAGAACGGAACTGGCTCCAGTTGGCGTGGCCGCAGAGGTTTTCTATTTCTTTCACCAAGTACCTGCCGCACAGCTTCCTAGCACTACTGATGTCGCTCAGTTCACCAGAAAACCTAACCAGCAAGAGTTCAAGCCACAGCAGGCATAAGCAGAGGAGCCGCAGCATCCCTGCGATGCCAAGCGAGTCCTCTGCGTTGTGCAATGGCGGTCGGCCTGACCAAAGTCCTGTCTGCGCCTGCGCCAAGCCGAGCCGTGCGCACAAACCTGTGGCATTCCGAGCGCGTGGGGGCCTCGCGAGAACATCAAGGAAAGACGTGTTGGCTGCGCCAAGGTTTTCGCGCCTGCCCTAGGATCTCAGGTGGTCGAAGGTGGCAGGCCCTGCCTCCTAAAATGAAAGCCAAAGATCCCCTCACTATCCCGCCACCGCCCCCACCCCCGCGACTTTGATTCATTTTCCTTTCCTTCCTCACTAGGAGATTCCTTACCAAGTGTGAGGACACAGGATCCCTGTTACCTGACAACGTAGGTTAAAAGGTGTTGGTCCCTCCACCTGGAATGTGTTTCCCGTTCTTGATTGCCAGGTTGTTAATAAAGCTTCGTCTCCCTCACAGAAACCCTCTCTCCTCTCTTTCATGGTTTTAATCGACCTGTTTCCATTTGTGGGCACGTAACCTCTTTCCTGAGACCCCCTCCTTCGTGAAGGCAGGGCCGGCGTCTGTTTTTGCTTTACATTGTACCCCGGTATAGTATAGGGCTGACTTTATGGGACTGAAACCTATGCAGTCACACAGCTGCTGTTACTAGTATGTTGGCGTGGAAGGATGTAATACCCGCCACCAGAGGGCATTCGGGGGCTGTCTCAGGAATAGTCAGTTTTAGGATGCTGAAGCCACAAGTGCCAGCTTATCAGTGATCTCAGTATTTCCCTATACAATTTTATTTTTTCTCCCTCTTTTCTGTCTTTTGACTCTAAGTCTTTTTTTCATTTTCCATTTCCCCACCTTTTCCCTGCTTCCCAGTCGCATCCATGAATGTTGTTAAATTAACTGTTGATTGGATTTTTTAAATGGCTGATTTAATATAGATTAGTAAAATTTCTTTACCTTCCTTGAAAAACAACTCATGTCCATACTATAGTGGGCCATGAGTCCTAGTCAGAACTTTATCAGGTAAAGCCTTTGAGAAAGGAAAATATTCATCATACTGGAGATGAATGTAAGCCTTGGGGTAACCACAAGGCAAAACCTGTAGTAGATATATAAAACATAAAAAAGAAGAAATCAAAGCATATCACTACGGGAAATCACCTAATCACAAAGAGAGCTAGAGAAAAAGAAAAGAACAAAGAACCTACAAAATAACCACTAAACAATTAACAAAATGATGGTAGTAAATTCTAACCCATCATTAACTACTTTAAATGTAAATTGATTATGTTCTGTAGTCAAAAGACAGGGCTGAACGGATTTTTAAAAAAAGACTAAACTATATACTGCCGATAAGAGACTCATTTTACTTCTAAGGACACACATAGACTGAAAAGGAAGGGATGGGAAAAGATATTCCATGCAAAAGGAAACTACAAGCAGAGGTAGCTATATTTATAACACAAAATAGACTTTAAGTCAACAACTATAAAAACAGACAAAGTCTAATTAATGATAAAGGGATTAATTCATCAAGAAATTATTACAAATGTAAATGTATATGCACCCAACATTCAAAGTACCTAGATATATAGGGGAAATATTAATAAATCTTAAAGGAGAGAGATAGACTGCAATAAACTAAGAGTAGGAGACTTCTATACTCCACTTTTAACGTTGGACAGATCAGCTAGATGAAAAATCAAGAAGGAAACTTTGGACTTAAACTATACTTTAGTCCAAGTGGAGCTAACAGATATTTATGGAACATTCCCTCCAGCAGCCACAGAATACACATTTCGATAACAGCAAGTTACAACTAAAAAGTTCAAACTTTTGGCACCAGCAATAGGAGAGTACGGACTGAGTGTGGGCAGCCAATGAGATTTCAAAGTAGGGCCCTGGGAGCAGTGATTCTGATTGGTTATCAGCTTGAGGGCAACCAATAGAAAGTACAGAACTAGTCAGGAGTAGGAACTCTCACCTGGCAGTCCTTCAGATCCCAGTACCTGCTTCTCCTTGATGCTGAAGATCCTCCTTTAAGTTTTCTTGCAAAACACCTCAAAGCCATTCACAACTGTGTTGTTACATGATCATTTCGGAAGGCATTTCATTGAGCTGGCTTTGCTCTGCATGGTTAACTGGCTCAGTAGCACCCAGACTCTTAGCAGGTTGTACAAGAACAGACTGAGCTTCCTGGGCCTAGACTTTTTTACTCTGAAACTTCAGCCTTTTTCTGGGAACTGCTGCTGTTACCTACCAAGCTGTGTGTGTGTGCCTGATGCTGCTCTCTCTTCCTGGCTCACCTGGGCTTTTATATACTTTGGTCTGTCACTAAACTTAAGTCAGTGGTTCCAGCTCCAGTCCTTTCCCTGCTTGCCTTCTTAGAATTTTTTTCCTCAGCTTTTTTTCACCTTCCCAACTCCAGCCTCAAATCCCCCCACACTTTATTACAACACTTCTTATTAATTACCATATTTCCTTTTACCAAGTTTATTATGCCTATTGAGAAAATTATAAGACACACTAAAAGGCAAATACATTGTTGAACTAACATAACATTCATTAGGATTCAACCCGGTGTGATAAGAAATTGGAATTAACAATGGGGAATTAAAAAAAAATTTCACCTCCATTTTCTCAATGTGAACAACTGGAAGTTTGAAGTAACTACAATTAATATTTTATGGATGCTAATAAATAAAGTAGACAGCATTCATGTCTGTCATTACCTATCTGTTATGCATATCTGTTATATGCATAACAGATAGGTAATAAAAGCAGAGAGATAGAAATTCTAAGAAAAAAAAACAATGAAATTCTAGGCATTAAAAATACTGTTAAAGAAATGGAGAATGTTTTTGGTGGCTCACAGTAGACTGAAGATGGCTGGAGAAAGTTTTTCTGACCTTGAGTATGTCTTTACAGAAAATTTAAAGACTGAAGGGCAAGGAGAAAAAAGTTGGAAAAAAAAAATGGAACAGAGTATCCCGGATCTATGCAACAAATGTAAAAGGTGTAACTTTTGCTTAATAAGAATATCAGAAGACAAATTAAAAGAAGATGAGAAGAAATATTTGAAGCAAGAATGACTAAAAATTCCCCAAATTAATGTTAGACACCAAACCATTGATCTACGGATCTCAGAGAGCAACATGCAAAATAAATTTTAAAATGCTATACCTGGGTGCATTATATTTAAATTATGGAAACAATGATAAAGAAAAACTTTTGAAAATGTCTGGTGGGGGGATAAAACCTTACCTTCTAGAGGAGGAAAGAAAAGAATTACATCCAACTTATCCACAGAAGCCATGCTAGCAAGAAGAAAGTGAAATATAAAAAGCACTGGGAGGAAAAAATCATTCACCTATAATTCAGGAACCTATGAAATTATCTTTCAAAAGTGAAGGAGAAATAAAGACTTTCTCAGATGAACAAAAATTGAGAGAATTTGTTGCTATGAGAACTTTCTTGAATTAAATATTAAAAGACATTCTTCAGGTTTTTTTCTAAGAAGGCAGAATAGAGGCTTTGCCAGCTTGCTGCACCTGCTTGGAAATAGCAAAATAGTTTGTAGAGGTTCACACTGTGAACTTTTATACAAGAAGGAGCTTGTCAGTTCAACAGAAAAATGAAAGAAAACTTCAGATACTAGAAAAAATAAGGCAAGCAGAAGCCTACATGGTGGGGTCCAGTGGAAAACTACGCATGAATCCACAGTGCATGATATGGGGAGACAGTATTGTCTTGATACCCATTCCCACTGAAAAGCCAGGAAATCCATGACAGAGATCCTTGACCCTACCAGGCCCTGAATATGACTTTGGGAGCAATTGGGAGACTGGAAGAAGGAATTGCCCTGTGATATGCTCTTCAGGTTCTCCCACAGATATGCACACCAATAGAAGAATGCCATTCCTGAACATAGCTCATAGAGGAATTCACAGTAACCTTCCAGCTGGCAGGGGCAGCAGTCACTGGTTTGGAGAGTCTCAGGAGAGAATTTGGCAATTTGATTTAGAGCAGGGGAGGGTCCCCTAGAGCCAGACCTGAGATATAGGTGTGGCATGGGCCCCAGCTGCATAGACTCCAACTGGCAAACTCCTCACCCCTTAATGGGACCACAGCAGATGGATATTTGCCTAGGAGGTGTGGTATTGGGCTAGGCAGTGAGTTTTATGGCCTGGGACAGTAGTTTTACTGACTGAAACCAAACTGTGTCTGACTTGGTTAATGGTCCAGACTTGGTGCTGAGGTTAAGCCATAAGCCAAGCGAGACCTGCTGGGTCTGAAGCTTGAGAACACTGCCGCTTTCTAGGCTGATCAGGTGGAGCTGCACCTCCTTCCTATGTCTTTGGCATAGCAGCAATTGCTCCATTCCTTGCTGGGTGCTTTTCTGGAGGCCTGAGGACTGCCCAACAAACCCCATTGGGACCAGTGCTTGTGCCTACCTCTAGGAGGCCTGAGTGTGAACTTACCTGGCCCAACTTCACCAGTTTCACCTTCTCTGCCTAAGAAGCAGAGTGCAGAACACAGACCACTGAGAGTTCTACAGCCTATTCCATCCCCCGGGACACCCAAATTCTTCTCCTATTTAGCAAAGATAAAACGTAAACCCTACTGCTCCCACAGCAGCTGGCTGTCACCAGCAAGTGCCATCTATTGGCCCGGAGGTCGACCCAAACAGCTCATTACAACATCTGCTGACACAAATGCATAGTGCTTGGGAAGGAGACGAGTGAGCATCTTGCAACCTCTGCTACTACTATCACCCATGCTACCCTGGCTATCCAGGAGGCTGTGAGCCTGCTCACCCGCTCAGTACACCATTATTACAACCAGCATTTGAGAAGGCCACCACACTAAGGCTGTTTATAAGCAAGTAAATCATACAGTCTTCACTAAACATGCCTAGAAGCAAAGCCAAATGCACTACTCAACCAATATTATAGTTACATCCTGAAGTGAAAAAAAAGAGTCCTACTCTAATGAAAGTAACTTCAAATATAAGAAGAAGTAACTGTTTCTCTAGATGTGACGAAATCAGCACAATAATACTGGAAATATGAAAAAGCAGAGTATCTTGACACCCTCAAAGGAATACAGTAATTCTCCAGTAATGAATCCTAACCAAAATGGAATATTCAAAATACCAGGTAAGTAATGCAAAAGTTATTTTTAAAGAAGCTCAATGAGATCCAACAGAAATCTAAAAATCAATAAAAAGAAATCAGAAAATCAATCAATGAGACTACATAAAGTGACCAAACTTACCAATCATTGGTACACCTCTGAGGGAGAAGTTAAAGCAAAATGT